TTTCTCTCTCTCTCTCTCTCTGTTTCAGCAAAACTATACAGATCAATATAATCGATGACGAGGAGTATGAGAAAAACAAGAACTTCTTCCTTGAGATGGGAGAGCCTCAGCTGCTGGAGATGAGTGAGAGGAAAGGTGGGGCGTTCCCTTCCCAGGCTTTGGTCCCAACCCTGTACCCCTTAACCCCGCACCCATTCCATTCGCCGTGTATGGCGTCCCCTAATGGATCCATCCAGTATTACTTTGTGCTCGCTCAGACCAACTGTATTGGGTGTACATGGATAGAGGTCACATTTCCATCCTCCATGGAGCATTTTCCTAATCCTGGTCCAAGAGGACCCCTGTAATAGCCAGGTTTTCCTTCTCTCTGGATTCTCGATGAGTTCTTTTTGGTCTTTTTTCATTGTTACCTTTCAACCATATTTGGTCAGGTGTATATTTCTTGATTATGAATCCCAAGATTGATTGGAGCAAAAACCAGCATACACATTGGTCCTCCAGGACCAGCATTGATCCTAAAACTATTTTAGTCAGACCTAGACTACAGAGCACTTGTTCTGAGTAGTCCATTTTTTAATCTGTGACCTTTTATTGACCTCAGCACCTAGACAAAACAATATAAATGTTATGAGAGGTAAATGCCAGGACATAACAATATCAAATGCACAGACAAAACAATATTGATATTATGATTAAATTAGAGATGAAGATCAATGAAGACAGTTGAGGTGAAAAGCTTTCATCTTTAAACTCAAACTGAGATCATAGAGGCTTCCAAACAAGAGTTCCAACTGTCCCTCCATGTATGCACCATGAGGTGGTACGAGTGTGCAACAGAGCTCGACTTCCCCCCTACCCCCGAACCCCGACAAACTGTTCCATCTGTACGTCCATGGATGGCCCAGTGGATAGGTGGATATCGAAACCAGTCCAAATCCTTTTTGGTGTGTGTGTGTGTTTGTTTGTGAAACTTGCACAATCTTCCCTCCCCCTTCCCCCTTCCCCCACCTCCCGCCCTCGTCCTTCACCTTTCCCTTTTTGTTTTGTACCTTGTCTTGTGTCCCCTTGCAGGAAGACCATAGCGGTTAGAATACTTGACCACGACGAATATGAAAGACAGGCCAGATTCTACATAGAGCTGCAGGAGCCCCATTGGAAAAGGCGATTGACAGGTGTGAGAGTAACTGAACAGAGTAGAAGATGGGCTCAAGCTTCTGACCTCCTCCTTCTCTTCTTCCTCCCACTCCTTCTTACTGCCAACTTTCCTGTTCTTTTTCTCACCCTCTTCTGCTCCCTCTCGTATTTTCTCTGCTGTCGCAAGGCTACCCTCTCCTCTGGTGTCTTGTATATCTACTGCCCCTGGTCAACACCGATGTTCAATGGGGCGGGCTGAACAGGATTTGAGCAGAGTCAGTGAAGTTTAGTTCTGTCCTGTTAAGGAGACCCATCCTATGAGACGTGCAGACCGATAATAGTTTTTGGTGGAACATTGAGTGGTAATGGTTGTATGCTCAAGAAGGTGCTGTAGAAATGTTTACCTCCACATTTTCTAGCCCTTAAGCTCTTGTGGTCTTCAGCCAAGCAAATGGTCTGAGTTTACCCTTTTCTAACCATCCCCCTTGGTACTAACTGTGTTCCACTGTTTCTGTTTGGGGTGTTGCTTGGATCACACACTCACAGTACTCGAGGACATTATGAGTTTTGCAGTATGCCTGTTGGACTCTGACTCCATACTGTAGGATTTTGGAAGAAATGCCATTAGATATATTTTGATTATTACATACATCTATATACGGTACCAATAAATATACTGAATCACCACTCTCAATGTGCGGTAATTACTTTTTAACATATTATCATTGTGCTAATGAGAAAATGGTGTGTAGTGGTGGTTAATTTAACAGGCCCATTTTGCCATCACAGAGAAGTGATTGCAGTACATGTTTATTGTGCTGACATTTTATTTAATTTTTTATGTAGACCTCCAAACTAAGCTATACCAGCACCTAGGGCTCTGTTTCCCAAAACCCTCGTAACGTTACATTTTCGAACATTAGGGACAGTGCATCGTTAAAACGCTCTTATGAGACTTTAGTTCCATCTCAGGAAACTGGGCCCAAAATAGTACACTGCAGGTTAATATTAGAACATCATTTTGACAAACATTTTGCTTTGACTTATTCAGTGTGCGTTTAGGCATCAGTTGTCATTGTTTAAACTTTCATCCAGGAGAAACATTTAGCATGTAACAAAAACCACAATGAAACCCACACTAATACCTTCTTTTTATTTCTGAATATGTTATATCTTTAAATACACACAGATACTGTGAATTAAAATTGTGCCCAATATACCTCTGAGATTTCATTGGCATTTAATGTGTAACATTTCGAGTCCTACAAGCCTGATTTGAAATTCAAAAAATTGCTAGACATGTCTAGTCTGTAGTGAACAACAACCTAACCACGAAATCTAGCCGTCATATATTATAACTAACCTGCCTGATAACTTTTTGCCACTGGCTTGTGTATATTCATTCCTCTGTTTCCCTTGTTACTTGTTTCCATTTCTCTTGTTTCTCATCTCTCGTTTCTCTCTGCTCAACTGTCCCTTGTCTCATCTGTTTCCATCCTATCAGCTGTGTTGCTTCAAGAAGTTGGTAAGCAGTCTACTTTCTCTCATTAGTCTGCTCTGGTGTGCTGTCACACTCTCTGTTTCCCTCGCTTCTGAAGTCACGTATTACTTCAAATGTCAATCATTGTCTGTTACTGTTGTAGTGAAGTGTCAAACATGCATACACTGGCAGTCACTGTGCATGGTTACCTTCTACGGAAGGGTAAATAAATTTCCTAAATGATGTTCTCAGTTGCAAGAAAACGTGTAATTGTTCTTATTAAAGAGTGATTTAGAGTGAGTTGGAAGTAGGCCTATACAGTATTTTTATTACTAGAGTTTAATTATTATTTGCTGATCAAAATGTGTCATTAATCAATGATACTATTAAGATACATCATATAAATGAATATCCACTCACAACCAAAAGGCATGTTTTGATTTATTTTCTTTATTTTCTATGGTTTTAGGTGGATTCGTGAAGACAGGTATGGTATATTGCTATTGCAAAAAAAAGTACATTATTTGGATTCAATGTATAAATTGATTGATTAATTGATAAATTAATGGGTCATTTTTTATTAATTTTAATAGACAAAAGGCTTTATGGTAAGAGAGGATTCAGTGTTGTAATTTATTGCTTTAAATCGTTGAAATTTAAAGCAAGTCAAATTCAAGTAACATATATGTGTCACCTTTGTGAGAATCGTGCATTCTCCTACCCACTACTAATGGCACAAGCCTTTCAGGCTATTCATTCACTGTTTAGTCTATCTTTGTAACTATATATATTTAGACATTCATAACAAACCAATATAATAGATTGATTATATTGAGAAAGCTTTGATAGACTTTAGTTGATTTGAGCATGGCATATTTTCAAATCAAATATACTCCAAAGACAGCACTGTGTACACTTGAATGGATATATTTTGTGTACTACTGTAGTACTACTATAGTCTTTTTTTGGGTGAATACTAGAAATGTAGTTTGTTTCGTTTGCACCTTGGTTTGTGGCACTTCCAGGCATTCAACATGTAGGCCTATCCTATCACTGAATGAGACACACTTCACTACGTGTGAAGGAGTGTGAAAGATGACGAATGACCTCACTGTGTGTGTGTGACCTCGCTGTGTGTTCGTGTAGGCGTGTACCAGTGGAGGCTTCTGAGGGGAGGACGGCTCATGATAATGGCTGGAATGGAGTCAATTGAGTTGTATTAACCACATGGAAACCTGGTCTTCGATGTGTTTGATACTATTCCATTGATCCATTCCAGCCACAATGAGCTGTCCTCCCCTCAGCAGCCTCCACTGGCGTGTCGAGACAAGTGTAATTTGCATGCCACCGGTGATCATGGAATGACTCAAGCCTAGACTGACCTCCAAACAGACGGCTTTTGCCCTCTGTCCACTTTGGCTCATATAGGACCACGCCCGTGATCAGACACTCACTGGTATCACTGAGCGCACTCTGTGGTCCTTTAACGGTTGGGTCGTGGTCCGTTAATGGTCGGGTCACACTATTCATCAGGGTTCAATCAAGTCTCTTGGGAATGCAATTTCCACCATCACTTTGTACTTACTCAACTGTATACATGTAAATATAACAATGTAATGAAAGAAACTACCTAAATTCTGGTTCAAATAATTTTATGTCCCCAGGAACTTGAGTTGAATTACCCCTATTTTACAGGAAATAGACATTCATAAAGCTTACACACTCTACACACTTTAATCATGGTAATTCAGTTATTACAAATAATTAATAAATGGTTTATGAATGTGTTCTTGTTGTGTAAGGTGTGGCTAGTTGTATAGCCATATCACCTAACATGCCTGGCTGTATGTGCTATATCAGTGGTCACTCCGGTCCTAGAGAGCTACTGGGTGTGCAGGCATTTGTTCCAGCCCAACACTAACACACTTGATAGCACTTAGGCTACACACTTCATTCAGCTCTTCAGTCTGGGCCATGATTAGCTGAATCAGGTGTGTTAGTGTTGGGCAGGAACAAAACTCTGCACATTCAGTAGCTCTTCAGGCGGAGCGTTTGCCACCCAAATGCTATATAAAAAACAATCTATTCAATCAAACACAGTCACTGGTTTTCCCTGGATAACTTTAAAAACATGATTCCTCTAGAGCTGCAATATTAACAAAGCAAATGTACTCAAATTCATGTACTCAACAAAGTAATGTTTACAGTGGGACCAAAGAATCTCAACAGCTTTTCAATTGAAACATGCGGTCCTCCACCATAATATTGTGAAATATATTGGATAGTGTTTTTAACTTATCCGGAAACCTTGGGACACAGGTTTTTTTGATCGAATGGGGTCTCTTTTTGTGCAATGAACTTTGAACTGTGAACTTGTCCCTCAGGCAGGGACGTCTACCGGAAAGTGCAGGGTAGGGATAACCCTGTCCCCACCACCATTATCAGCATTGCAGGTATACATCCTCCCTTCGTCCTCTCCATCCTCCCCTCACTTCTCTATCGTCTCGCTCTCTATCCTCCCTCTCTCTCTTACCATTCCGTGCGCCACTGTGTGACTCATGAGTTCTCTGTCACGGCTGTCTCAATACTGCCTCCGGCTGGAAATCTCTGCGAAAATAACAGTCTGCTTTTTCATTTCCAGTGTCACTCTTTCTGAATGAACTCCCTTTCTCTATCAGCTCAGTATGTCTCTGTTTCTGCTTCGGTGACTAGCGCTGGGCCAGTCAAATGGCTAGATTGTCACTGCAAAGCTAATAGTCAGTATCATACAGCTATTGCACATTTGCCTCTTCACACACCTTTGTGGCGTCTCCTGCTATCTATGTCCATAGGTCCTTTATGTAGCCTGTATATGCACACTTTTCTTAGTCCTCACTTTATCGTTACTCAATTAGCATAAACAGAGCACAAGAAGGTACACTTGCAACAGAAACCTGGACTCAAGTGACATTTTCACACTTATGAGCCTTGCTAAACTGATCCAAGCTGAACTGTTATGCTCTGGCCAGGTTATGCATCCACCACAGTAGCTGGAACTGTGCCAGAAAGGATTATGTGAAAAGAAAATATCCAAGGCAGCATAGTACGGCACGGCTTAGCATAATATTTTGAAAAGTGTAAAGGTTTTCAAGAGCAGGTGTTGATCAGTCAACAGCAACCTTGACCACTCACGGACACACATGAATGGCCTCTTATGGGTATCGTCCTTGTCATGGCCACTAACCACCCAAATGTGTTCTCTCTCCCTTTCTCTTTCTTTCTCCCTCTCTCTCTATCTTTCTCCCCCTCTCTCCCTCAGAGGAAGGGGACGAGGAGGCTCTCTCCAAGAAGGAGGAGGAGGAACGTCGCATCGCTGAGATGGGCCGGCCCACCTTGGGGGAGCACGTCAAACTGGAAGTGGTCATCGAGGAGTCGTATGAGTTCAAGGTACGAGACAGCACTTCCGCTTTGGTCTGTTTCTGAAGCGCACTATTTTACAAGATTAATGACTACATTTCGGTTTCCTGGTTACTAAAATGTTCCCCTAATTTTAGTTTTTGTGACACAAAAATCATTGTATAGTGTAGAGAATCATTGCAATATCTAAAAGGCTGTGAAATATATTTTGAATAACCACAAATATTGTATTTTCAGCTGTTTGAAGCTGACGTACAAAACTGAAAATAAAAATAAGCAAAAACAAAACATACAGAGGGGAAGCATAGCATACCGCACATAGAACAGATCTACCGCTTACCAGACTTGCTTTCAATGAGAATGACAGATCATTAACTCTAATTTCTATCTGAAATCTGCCGGGTCAGGCACAAACCAGCAAAATTGTACCTTTAATAATAGTAAATCACAGCTTTGATAGGACCATAAAACACCTAGTGGACCCTAAAACCATTCACTCTACCACTTGGAAAGGGAGTAAGACAACCAGCTGCACTTGAGATTGTATCTCCATTACTTCAGTCGTACCTCCCATGTCTTAAGTGGTATCTCCCATGTATTAAGTCAGCCCAGCTGGAGTCCTTTCAATGTTTAATTGCATCCGAATGCCAACTGTCACTGACATGGCCATCTGTCAATCCAAAAGTTCCATATTCCACGTGAAAGAGACAGTGATTAGGATGAACATTTCTTTGCAGTTTGGGGTAGTTTTAAGGATAGAAGTCAGGGTATGTTTTGAGGTTGATATAGGAGTTGAGATATGGTTTGGTTCACAGTTTGGCCTGATAAATCAAACTGGTTTGTCTTTATTGCATTGTATAGACCCTTTTACATCATGTGCACTGCCAAGGTGTATTCATTGGGCATGTACAGTTGAAGTCGGAAGTTTACATACACCTTAGCCAAATACATTTAAACTCAGTTTTTCACAATTCCTGACATTTAATCCTAGTAAAAATTCCCTGTCTTAGGTCAGTTAGGATCACCACTTTATTTTAAGAATGTGAAATGTCAGAATAATAGTAGAGAGAATGATTTATTTCAGCCTTTTATTTCTTTCATCACATTCCCAGTTGGTCAGAAGTTTACATACACTCAATTAGTATTTGGTAGCATTGCCTTTCAATTGTTTAACTTGGGTCAAACGTTTCGGGTAGCCTTCCACAAGCTTCCCACAATAAGTTGGGTGAATTTTGGCCCATTCCTTCTGACAGAGCTGGTGTAACTGAGTCAGGTTTGTAGGCCTCCTTGCTCGCACACGCTTTTTCAGTTCTGCCCACAAACTTTCTATAGGATTGAGGTCAGGGCTTTGTGATGTCCTTAAGCCATTTTGCCACAACATTGGAAGTATGCTTGGGGTCATTGTCCATTTGGAAGACCCATTTGCAACCAAGCTTTAACTTCCTGACTGATGTCTTGAGATGTTGCTTCAATATATCCACATAATTTTGCTTCCTCATGATGCCATCTATTTTGTGAAGCACACCAGTCCCTCCTGCAGCAAAGCACCCCCACAGCATGATGCCTTCACCCCCGTCCTTCACGGTTGGGATGGTGTTCTTCGGCTTGCAAGAGTACCCCCTTTTTCCTCCAAACATAACGATGGTCATTATGGCAAAAAAGTTATATTTTTGTTTCATCAGACCAGAGGACATTTCTCCAAAAAGTACGATATTTGTCCCCATGTGCAGTTGCAAACCGTTGTCTGGCTTTTTTATGGCGGTTTTGGAGCAGTGGCTTCTTCCTTGCTGAGCGGCCTTTCAGGTTATGTCGATATAGGACTCGTTTTACTGTGGATATAGATACTTTTGTACCTGTTTCCTCCAGCATCTTCACAAGGTCCTTTGCTGTAGTTCTGGGATTTATTTGCACTTTTCGCACCAAAGTACGTTCATCTCTAGGAGACAGAACGTGTCTCCTTCCTGAGCGGTATGACGGCTGCGTGGTCCCATGGTGTTTATACTTGCGTACTATTGTTTGTACAGATGAACGTGGTACCTTCAGGTGTTTGGAAATTGCTCCCAAGGATGAACCAGACTTGTGGAGGTCTACAATTCTTTTTCTGAGGTCTTGACTGATTTCTTTTGATTTTCCCATGATGTCAAGCAAAGAGGCACTGAGTTTGAAGGTAGGCCTTGAAATACATCCACAGGTACACCTCCAATTGACTCAAATTATGTCAATTAGCCTATCAGAAGCTCCTAAAGCCATGACATCATTTTCTGGAATTTTCCAAGCTGTTTAAAGGAACAGTCAACTTAGTGTATGTACACTTCTGGCCCACTGGAATTGTGATACAGTGAATTATAAGTGAAATAATCTGTCTGTAAACAATTGTTGGAAAAATGACTTGTGTCATGCACAGAGTAAATGTCCTAACCGACTTGCCAAAACTATAGTTTGTTAACAAGAAATGTGTGGAGTGGTAAAAAAAGAGTTTTAATGACTCCAACCTAAGTGTATGTACACTTCCGACTTCAACTGTATGTGTGTTTGTGGAATGCTAAATAACCAGGATTGAGGAATATTAGACTGAAATCTTCTCTTCTGGTGCCCCACAGAACACAGTGGATAAGCTGATTAAGAAGACCAACCTGGCTCTATTGATTGGAACCAATAGCTGGAGGCAGCAGTTTATGGAAGCTATCACAGTCAGCTCTGGTAAGCCGATCAATCAATCAATCATTTCATTGGCAGACTATAGAGCTTTTTAAAAATGTGTTTGTAACAATGTGCCTAACCACCAACCCAGGCCTAAACCTCAAAAGAGCAAGCCACAACTAGAGTGGCAGGGGAAAACTCCCTAGGTCTAGGAAGTGTAGTAGGAAGAACCCTTCAGGGTAGCATCTTAAACATAACACCAGGTCTATGTCCCAAAGGGCATCCTACTCCCTTTATAGTGCACTACTTTTGACCAGGGCACTATAGTGAATAGGGTACCATTTGGGACACAGCCTATATTCTGATTCTTGGACAACAATATGGTATGATGTATTCAGAGCCATATCAAATCTCATCCAAATTAGAAAATATTATGTTATTTTCCTTTCAAATCACATTTGTCGTAATTGGCTACACAATCACCCTAGTCACAAAGGCATCTGCACAAATCTTAATTGGAACGCTTTTTGTAATTAGCGGGAACAGTGAAGTTCCAGTAGCGGCGCCCTCCGAAGCACATTCCAGACACAATGCACTGTTGATATATCAACGGAGGAGCGTCGACGCACAACAAACTCATCAAGCAACACACACACACAACCACACAATCTCACACACACAATCACACACACACACATCTCACACACGCACGCAGGAACACACGCAAACAGACACACACACACACAAACACACTGAGGGCCTGAGTGGAGCTGACAAAGCTTGTTAGCCATGGGAGTGCACTCCAGAGGAGATTCCTCCAGGGCTAGTAATGAGATCACTAAAAAGTCCATGTAATGAATTAGTCTGCTCGTTGAGTTCTAAACTACGTGTGTGTTTGGCCATGTGGCCGTGTGGCCGTGTGTTTGTGGCCGTGTCCAGAATCAGGCTTGCCTACTACTTACTTAAACTGCATACTGTGTGCTAGTACCACATACTGTTTAGAAAAAAAACAATTCAGTAAGCAACAAATATCAGCATACTAGGCTCATCCTACTGAGAATGCATCATCTAATGAGCAATTACGTTTATTCCCGTCATTCGTTCATTTTGGTAAAGCGCGTCCCCTCAGCTGATTATCAGCTGTTGTCAGACACGTGGCTCTCGAAAGACGATTCTCTTCCTCAAAAGTGTACAGTGAATTATACTAGCTGAAAAGCTGAAATTAGTATGACATCCTGCCATTTAAAGCATACAAACATTTTGAAATTTCACATATTATAAAATATTTTATAAATCAATTCCTGCTATTTAGAATGAAAGTATGGGTATTCAGACATGACCATTGTGTGTGTGTGTGTGTGTGTGTGTGTGTGTGTGTGTGTGTGTGTGTGTGTGTGTGTGTGTGTGTGTGTGTGTGTGTGTGTGTGTGTGTGTGTGTGTGCTTGTGAGTTCTGAACTGTGCTAATATCCAGGCAGACCCTTTCCACTAGGATAGGCACAGAGTCTTTGCTGCACATGGGCTATGGTTGATCCCTAACCTGTATGGTTACCATAACACAAATTAGATTGGAAACAAAACAGGACAGAACATGGTCAAGCTGGATCTGTTGAACCTCTATGGCCTCCTGTCCACTCAATTGCACACATGAGCACACACACGCACCCACTCATGCGTAGAAACAAACATTGAAACAAGTACTGAAATGCAGGCCTATGTCTTGAGACATACTTATGGACACGACATGTATTGTATTATCAAAAACACACACAAGTACAGATACACACACACAAAAACGTGACCATTCCCTGCTCCCATGCAGAGAAATGCATTCAGATGGATTTTGAACATCAGCTATTTTAAGCAACGCTGTCAGTCACCCTAATAAACTCCCCATGGCTTCAATGAGCAGAGATGTGGCTTACTGTCCTGACTTGATGTGTTAAGAGGCTTCATTATTTGTGTAATGTGGAAAAGGGAGTGGAGAGAGTGGGGCTAACTGCTAACAGTACTAGGAAAGCCTAAAATGCCTCTGTCTGTTTTCATTTAGAATGGACTAGTGGTGGCTAGCTTCTCCTGGTCCACTCACAGTTTAAGACTTATTTACATTGCCCAGAATGTTAACATTGTAGCAGAGGTTTTAACCATGTTAAACTTTTAAATTGAACCTTTGACTATGAAGTTGGGGTTACAACACATCTTCCCTCCCCTCAAAATGTCTCAGGCGATGATGACGAGGACGAGTGCGGCGAGGAGAAGCTGCCCTCCTGCTTTGATTACGTCATGCACTTCCTCACCGTCTTCTGGAAGCTCCTGTTCGCCTTTGTGCCGCCCACCGACTACTGGAACGGCTGGGCCTGCTTCGTGGTCTCCATCAGCATGATTGGCCTGCTCACCGCCTTCATCGGAGACCTGGCCTCCCACTTTGGCTGTACTGTGGGCCTCAAGGACTCCGTGACCGCCGTGGTGTTTGTGGCGCTTGGAACGTCTGTGCCAGGTGCGTTCCATACATGCTGCAATACACACAGAAACGTATACACAACCACACAGACATATTCACAAACAGTGGGTTTTATTAGGACTCTGTCACCAATCTGGTGTTTGCGGCATTGGGATACCAGGTTAGTAACATACACCATCTAACTCTTTACTCTCATGACAGGGTTTATCACAATTAGGCATTGTCACTCCTAAAAGCAGTGATTTGTATGAAATGTTCTTGAATAGTACACTATGTCATAGCTCTTGTCATGCATGGACATCTAATTTTGGATCCGTGTCACCCTACCACCATTCACAATTCTGATTATTTTTTTTCTCTCTCTCTCTCTCTCTCTCTCTCTCTCTCTCTCTCTCTCTCTCTCTCTCGATCTCTCTCTCTCTCACAGACACGTTTGCCAGCAAGGTAGCTGCAATCCAGGACCAGTACGCTGACGCCTCCATCGGCAATGTAACGGGCAGCAATGCCGTCAATGTCTTCTTGGGCATCGGCGTGGCCTGGTCCATCGCCGCTATCTACCACAATTCCAAGGGCAACGACTTCCGGGTGGACCCTGGCACCCTGGCCTTCTCCGTCACCCTATTCACCATCTTCGCCTTTGTCGCCGTGGCCGTGCTCATGTACCGCCGCCGACCCGAGATTGGGGGTGAGCTGGGTGGGCCCCGGGGCCCCAAAATCGCGACCACCTGTCTCTTCTTCAGCCTGTGGCTCATGTACATCGTCTTCTCCTCCCTGGAAGCTTATTGCCATATCAAGGGCTTCTAACTTCTCTAAAAAGTATCTGAAAGCAAGATTCAAAGACAAATATTTAAAAGATATTTGAAAGCTTTAGCTTCTAGAGTCTTCAAAAGCATCTGAAAGGTCTTCGAAAGCTTTTTAGTCTTTGAAAGCTTCGAAAATATATTTTCATGCTTCTAAAAAATAACCACTTTATTGCTTTCATCTAAGACCTCTGAACTATGTACAATTCCATCCAATGTCTCCTATGCCATTGACTACTACGTCCCTTTATCCTAAATCTAAGATCCATGACACTGCATGCCTTTCTGTCTCATCCAATGCTTAAGCCATTTACTGCCACATCCAAGACATCTGAAGCATCCACTACTACAACTAAGGCCTCTGAACCCAACACCAGCAGGATGATGGCCCAAAAGAATTCAGACGTGAAAACGGAGGCATTATGTGTTTTTTTAAAACTATTAATTTAGTGTTTGTCCGCTAGCTCCTTCAATCCTGTTGTTGCAGCTTTATTTTAAATGGAAGCTCTCTGGTGACTTTCATTGGATCAAGACTCCTAAGGCTGTGTATCCTAAATGTAATTTCAGATTAAGCAAAAAACGTGTGCTTGTTCGGTTATACAGAACTTCAAAGCTGGGCCTAAAAGTGCTGCTGGCTGGCGTGCACAATTTCTGTTCAGTGCCAAAAAAAAATAACTTGACAAATAACTCATAATATTCCTATAACATAGAAATGTGAGTGGTTGTTTAAATGCAAAGGGCATATGGATGATAAATGCATAGTTACTGAGGTAAATACTTAAATGAGGCGATACCTCATTTTATGTCTACACAGTACTGTTGCAGTGATGACTCTATCTCCAATATTACAGAAACTAAAGAAACCTTTCCTTACAAGAATGTCTTGATATAAAATGTCACTAATGCACATGTTATATATTATAATTTTTTCCCCACTAAACATTTATCAGCAACAATACTATTACACTAGACAAGTCAATAAATAATTAATTAGAGGTGAAATAAGCATTATGGCTTTGTGAAATGTGTAAAGGTCTATGACTACACATTTTACATGACTTGATTTATATCCTATAACGTCTTCTATGATCTTTCTTTTAATTGTGTAAAACATATTTCATTCAGTCAGCTTCATCTGCTAGCAGACCGTTTTTACAATGAAGAGATTGTGAGAACGCTATACAGTGGAGACAGTGTCAAAGAAGACTACAATACACAGAGATGTTTTGTCAAAAGGTGATCTGAGTTTTCACTAAGATACATTTACCACAATTTACAAATTAAATATCATTGTAAAACAAAAACTACACTGTGTAAATTGAAATCAACAAGTTGTTTTATCAACAAAAAAAATCTAATTGGAAGGAATGAGCCTAGATATCTTCCAGTGAAAGCTTTTTGAAAATGTTTTTAGGAAAATTAAACAACCTTTTCTAGCGTGGTTGGATGGGTTAAAGCTATTTTTATATTCTTATCGGACCTCTTATGACAAGGATACAGTATGGATCTTTCATATTTGGGTGAATAGGGCTTTTAAGACTTCTATCATAGTAAGAAGATAAAGTCCAGAAAACAATATAATATGCCATGGATGAGCAACTGGCGGCCCTCCTTTTGTAGGCCTGCGGACCAATTAAATGTTTAAAAATAAAAAAATGAATTCTTAGGAGCTTAGTCGGGGTCTCAACTTACTATTGAGAGTTAGAATAGTAGAATACACAAGGTGCAATTTCAAAATTTGGTTGTGCATCAGCAGTCACTCAATTAGCCCATGTCAGCTAAATGTTTTTTGATTGGTAAGTTAGTCTAGTGGCCTGCTATCTAAACTTGTAGTAAGCATGGTCGAATTACCAACCAGGGTGGGGCCCATTGATTATCTGTTATAATTTTAAAAACTCAAAACAGTTGCCTCCACCCTATGGCAAAATGTGTAGAATTGCATGAAATTAGCTTTAAAACAGCAACATTTTCTCTACGCCCCATGGCAAAATGTGTAAAATTGCAGGAAATGAACTTTAAAACGTAAAATGTTTCTCTTCGCTGTCACGAAGGGGTCGGTAAAATGTTTTGCTTGCGGGGGGTGGTATGGATGTGGGTACGCAGACCCACGAGCCACTGCAGCCCCTCATGATGAGTTCCGTTGCCCATCCCTGTAGTATGCTATCAAGCTCTCCAAGACAGAGACTGCCAATCCCTTTATATATGTGATGTCCCTTGCATCTTTCATTTTGTCTGTTAACTACCACAGGTGACAGACAAAACAGCACAAATTCTACAGTTGTGCTTCTTTCATAGAAAAGTCGTCAAGAATTTATTGTGTGTCAAGTTTAGTCATACATTGTTGTTGATTCCTTGTCCAGGTGTGCAGCAATGTTTGCTTTAGCGCTGTGGTGAGCACAGTGTGCTAGTGTTGTCTATACCTCTGTCTGAATAATCCTCAATGTTGGATTATCAATGTGCTACTTGTAAACTATATGCATGAGTGTAAACATAACTGTATATAATAAGCCGTAGTTATCATTAACATTAGGGGACACATTTTTAATACTGAGTAGTAATGGATTTGGGTTCATTGAGTTTGTTTGTGTGTTTGCTCCTGGAACAATGTTATCTGAATGACTACACTTCTTTGAGGTAATGTGAACAAATCATTTCTTATTTGTACGAAAGGCAATATCTCAAACTCTTGTGTTGATGACGGTGGCTGAAATAGTTATTCGTACTGTCCAAAACTACATTGCTCTACTTGAGTTTGCTGATGTCAAATTTGCAAGTTTGAGGAAAAGACGAAGCAGTACTTTGTCTGTGTTATCTTTTGTGTATATAGTGTACAGTGTTGTCAAAGTGAGGTAGATGGCCTCAAAGTTGAAAACATAAATTCAAGCTATTTATTTTCCAACCCTTTGGGGACACAAGAATAGCAAATGTTGCCTTCCAGGGAAGCCATGTTGGAATTGACTTTCATACCACTTTTCCTCATATATTTCCCTTTCTTTTTTAATAAGTCTGGGTGGTTCTCAAGGTCCTTTTTATCCTTTCTTGCAATGGAAGTTGTCTTGTCGTCAATACATTCAGGGGCCAAAACGGATCCTACATACCTACTACAGAGTGAATTCAGCCAAACCTAAAAAAATAAGTATCACTCTAACAGTATTGTGTGAATGAATGGTATTGTAACTTATTATACAGTTTTGACTGGTTTAAACAAAACAAAAGGAATCAATTTTTTCTCTCACATTAAGCACATTGATTCGCTGTTAGGACAGCTGAGGCATAAAAAATAGCCATATTATGGCTTCTGTTTATTTCACCTTTCTCATTGTTCCTATTAGTGATGTCACAAACATTGACAATATTTTATTGATTCACTCTTCCTCAGCTTGTCACAAGCCTAGGCCCATCTCTAGACTAATTGTTTTATCTATAGCGTCGTCCAGGGTAGGGGAGGGAATGGCCGGCAGGGATGTAGCTCAGTTGGTAGAGCATGGCGTTTGCAACGCCAGGGTTGTGGGTTCGATTCCCACGGGGGGCCAGTATAAAAAAATAATAAAAAAAAATATTAAAAATTATGCACTAACTAACTGTAAGTCGCTCTGGATAACAGCGTCTGCTAAATGACTAAACATTTTTAAAAATGTATTAACATTGGTCACACATACTGTATAGCCTGGTCACCTTCTGTAACTGTGCTGTAGCCAACTTTTCAATTCTTCTATCCTTGTCAAGCTATACATACACTATATATACAAATGTATGTGGACACCCCTTCAAATTTGTGGATTCGGCTATTTCAGCCACACCCATTCCTGACAGGTGTGTAAAATCGAGCACACAGCCATGCAATCTCCATAGACAAACATTGGTAGTAGAATGGTCTTACTGAAGTGCTCAGTGACTTTCAACGTGGCACCGTCATAGGATGCCACCTTTACAACAAGTCAGTTCGTCAAATTTCTGCCCTGTTAGAGCTGCCCCGGTCAACTGTAAGTGCTGTTATTGTGAAGTGGAAACATCTAGGAGCTCAGCCGCGAAGTGGTAGGCCACCAAAGCTCACAGAACTGGACCGGCGAGTGCTGAAGCGCGGGGCGCGTAAAAATCGTCTGTCCTCGGTTGCAACACTCACTACCGAGTTCTAAACGGCCTCTGGAGGCAGCGTCAGGACAAGAACTGTTCGTCGGGAGCATAATGAAAGCCGAGCAGCTGCACACAAGCATACGATCACCATGCGCAATGCCAAGCGTCGGCTGGAGAGGTGTAAAGCTCGCCGCCATTGGACTCTGGAGCAGTGGAAACGCGTTCTTTGGAGTGATGAATCACCCTTCACCATCTGGCAGGATGAATCTGGGTTTGGCGGATGCCAGGAGAACGCTACCTGCCCCAATGCATAGTGCCAACTGTAAAGTTTGGTGGAGGAGGAATAATGGTCTGGGGCAGTTTTTCATGGTTCGGGCTAGGCCACTTAGTTCCAGTGAAGGGAAATCTTAACGCTACAGCATACAATGACATTCTAGACAATTCTGTGCATCCTACTTTGTGGCAACCATTTGGGGAAGGCCCTTTCCTGTTTCAGCATGATGTGCACAAAGCGAGGTCCATACAGAAATGGTTTGTCGAGATCGGTGTGGAAGAACTTGACTGGCTTGCACAGAGCCCTGACCTCAACCCCATCGAACACCTTTGGGATTAATTGGAATGCTGACTGCGAGCCAGGCATAATCGCCCAACATCAGTGCCCGACCTCACTAATGCTCTTGTGGCTGAATGGAAGCAAGTCCCCGCAGCAATGTTACAACATCTAGTGGATAGCCTTCCCAGCAGAGTGGAGGCTGTTATAGCAGCAAAGGGGGGACCAACTGTATATTAATGCCCATGATTTTGGAATGAGATGTTCGATGAGCAGGTGTCCACATACTTTTGGTCATGTAGTGTACATCCTGGTATGACAAGAACGAACACAGAGAGGAGTTGGCAAAAGCACAAACAGACTGGATCACCAGGCTA